CTGCATTCTTTACCTCTCTTGAGTCATTAACAACTTTCAAAAGTAATGGGCCAATGCCGCCATAAAATTTACAGGGCAATGCATGCAAATCCGCTAGTACTCATCACATTTCAAACTTGATATACATGACTGTTTTGGCAGTATAAAATTGCCTAAATTAGAGTGTGCAAAATAAGAATTTGGTTATAATTAGTCCGAAATCGAGGATGCTCTTGCAAAAAAAAAAATCGCTTTCGACATGCTTAAAAGAAATTGGTATTTTCCTAATTATAGATAGCCCAAAGTATGACATTATTGGAGTTCCCTTTTATTATAAACCCTTCTCCATCCTTCCATGTTATTGCTTCATTTACCGAGCCAGACCTCAAAGATTCGCTTTGAGGTAAAGAGTCTCAATTCTGTTAAATGGGATATAAGGTCATAAACATTTATTTATCAAACGTTCCTTTTTTACCTTTGCCATGAAATAATGATTGCTAATTTGTTTATCAAACATTCCAATTCCATAAACTTGGCCGCAACAGTATCACATCTCATCTTGTCAGTACTCGAGTACAACTTGATGCATACAACTTCTCTCTAATAAATGCAAAGTCACTAATTAACTTTATATATAGAGGGAAGAGGTACATAAAGGAGCATTTTTCCTTTTTTTCCATTCCTGTCTTTTTATTTTCCCATTGATAATAAGAAGTGAAAGCAACCTCATAGCTTCTGAAAAATACATAAAGATGGTCCAAGACATACTAATACTTGAAAGGACAAAACCCACAGATATATCCTCTTACTCAATTCCTGATAGTCTAACTTGAACATTTTCACCGAGCCCAGCACATTGTACTTTACTTTCATCACCATAAACCGCCCACACTTTCACACCGGCATTTAGATAAACATGTCAGCAAGTTAATTTTCAAACTGTAGATGACTTATTACCAATGAGAAAAATCTCAAATTTACAAAAAGGATAACAAGAGAAAATTTCCATACAACTGGAAATGAAGACCAAAGAGAAAAGAGTGTAGAAAGACAACACACTCTGTAAGGCATTACCAATAAGTGGTCAACAAGACACTAGCATACTCAATTTTTCCCATAACGACAGTTCCCAAATCTTTGAACTTATCAATTATTGCAATCCTGAAAAATGATAGTGTTAATACAATAATACACAGATTTCCCATCAAAGCAGGATTCTAGGAAAAGATCATGACAACGTACAGAGTAGTCATGTCTAGTTGTCCACATTATAAAATATAGGAAAACATCATCAACTAATTAGGGAAATAAAATTAAAAATCTCATCAGCATATTCTATGGAAAAAAACGATTCACATAGCTGAAACATGACTGATAACCAAGTTTTTGATATAGAAATATCAGGACTACATCAAATTTGTTTTCAAGGTAGCAAGTTATTAAATCTCCATATGGTACAAATACAGATTTACACCCAAGATACCTTTCACAAGCAGTGATTTCCCTCTAGAGAGGACCAACTATAGAAGCCAAATAGAGACTAACTATATAGTTTCATGTACACATCAAAATTTACTTTGGTCTAACATGCTCCAATTCCATGCTCTTTTCCATGTCCTTCTCTTGGCTTCTGGTGCTCCTATCTCTTCACCTCTGCCTTCTTCTCGACTCGTTTTCTCTTGGCTTACATTCACATCGCTCGGGTTCTCTTTGATCTCTTCCTGGACTTTCTCAATATTGGTCAAGAAAAATGAGCGATACTTATGACTCACTTTATCCTTAAAAGCCATCAAAGAATATGAAAAAGGTTCTATCTTATTAGCTGTGTTTCTTATATCCGCAAAGCGCGCATGTATCGCTCGTAAAATATAGATTACACTCATTTCAAATTGGCTGAGTTGTTCTTCTTTGAAGCCCAACTCAGAATTCGAAGCTACTTTTTCCTTAAGAAACTGACCAGGAGGCACCTTAATCTCTGATTTATTACTACTCTTTTCCAGGATCATGTCTTCTGATTGACATTGTTGGGTCCACCAATTCTTGTCAACAAGTGAAAGAAATGAACTCCATAGCTTTCTGTCCAATGCCTTTTCAACATCTACAATGAATTTATCGATAATGCTTACTATGGATGGTTTTTCATGAAAGGAGGTCCAATAAAGCCCAATAAGCTGCTTTTCTACGAAACCCAAGTGAGAATTCACATAGTTCCAAGTGGTTTCTTCATCCTTGAAAGTATCGAAATAGGGTAGCATATCTAAAACCAGTTTCCTACAGAACTCATCAAATTCCAAATCATTATACTCTTCAAGAATATGAAAGGCCCTGATGCGGAGCATTGCCTTCTCATAGAGAGGCTTAAAGAAAAACAGATAGTGCTCACTCGGTGTTTGGCAAAGATAGTTTACCAAATCTGTCGACACCCATATCTCAGGGCCCCCCCTCATAGCCAGTAATGTACCAAGATACAACAGGAACAAAGGACTTGCACCGGACCCCTACGTTGGGTTCTTCCGAATTGTAGGTTGTCCAAATCTCGGAAGTGATATAGAATAGACCCAATTCTAAATCTTCAAATGGCTGCATTGCACCTCCTTTATCCACAATCTTGAATTTTTTCAGCCTTCTTTGAGCCTTAATAGTATTGGTACCTGGCATCCCAGTCATGCTAACTGTGACGTATTTGTCGTCAACCTACCGTGTTTTTTGCATAACATCCATGGTCGTATTATTTACTGCTTGTATATTCTTCTCCACGGTATCAATATATTCAGGAAGAGATTGCTTCTTTGGAGGATGATCCTTCTCTTCCTCCAAAGAAGTCAGGTTATACGTTTGCATAAGCATTGGTGTCTCTTTCTCTTCTTGAATTCCTAATTGTGCTGGAGTGTACAACCTGTGGGCAGGGATATGATCAAGACTCGGTAAATCATCGAATATTTCTTTCTGCTGCATCTCAGTGGAAGAAGGTGAATTGGGTTTTGAAATATCTGCTGAATCAGACAATCTTCTTTTAGGTGTTCTTTTAGGTGTTCTTTGGTCACCATCGCTTTGGGGCTTTACAGATCTTTGCCTTTTGTTCTTTGGGGAATTGAATGAGTCCTCCATGGATAAAACTTAATGAAAACGTAACAGAGAGAGACTAGAAAAGGGGAAAAAGAACTAAGATTAGAGATAACAGGGCACTGGGTGCAAAGAAACCAGAGAAAGAGGGAAGAAAAACAAGATTAGAGAGAGACAGGTGCAGATAAACTAGAGAAAGAGACTAGAGAAAGGAAAAAAAAACAATATTACAGAAAGTGAACCAAGCACAAGAATATGGTGCAGAGAAACGAGCGAAAGAGACTAAAGGTGGGGAAAAAGAAGATACCATTGTATCCGCCTGAACATAAGCTCAAGAGTGCATGTAATGATGCATCCATCGATTATGAGGATTTTTTTACTCAACTGCTAAATTCCCAGCAGAGAGAGAACAGAACACAGGAAGATGGTAAAAGAAACCAGAGAACAAGATCGCAAAAAATTTCAAGACAGAGAATGGAGTTTTGTTTAATGATAGAGAGTGACGAAATTTGTTAGAGAGAGAAGGCGGGGGCTTTGCGTTGATTTGAAAAAGAAAGAAGGTTTGTGTTCGTCGCCTTGGACAAGGAGCAGCTGCTATTCAAATAACTGTTTTTAACGACATTTCGTTTTTGTTATTATTTTGAAATGACAAAATATATAAGCGGGGCAATTAGTTTGAAATGGACACATATTATTTTGAAATGATCAATCTTGGGAATTTTTTTTTTATTCTAGCACATATGGAGTACAATTTGGACTTTTTTTTTAAACTTAGGTTAGTTATGGGTTGAAGAGATTATATTCCAAAAATTTGAGGTCCTAAAATTAATGTTGTTTTGGGTTTTACCTGAGGGAGTAAATGAACAATATACTCTAGTTGGAACAGTTGAAAAGGATTAAACTAAAACAGTAGGTGTGTTTTGAATTCCCATCAAAATTCAAATTACTCAATAGTTGAAAATGGTACATGGTTAGTAAAAAAATGTTGTTTCCATGGTATGAATTTAGGTACAATTGAAGGTTTCTCCTAAAATGGAAGGTATCCTCCAGATAATTGGAGTCAGGTGGACATTGTTTGGCTCTGTAGTGGGTTATTTTTATTTTGATTCTCATTTGGCAAAGAAGAATTGTTCAAAAGGGAGGATTGTTGCATCAAAAAACACTTCCAAAAAATAAACTCAAGTTTACTTTGATCAAGGTTAGGATGCAGCTTGTTGTGCTCAATGGAAGGTTTCTCAGAGATTTTTGTATTGGACAATGAAATCTAATGTTGAAAATTTATATCCAGAGTCTACCTAAACTCGAGGCTCGTATTCATCAACTACCTCGAATGGCCTATTCAGGAGATTCGCAGCGCATCATTTTGGAAGTTTCAAACCATTCAGACACATTGGTGAAAGGATGGTTATTTGGCATTGGATACCCAAAAAAGGAATACCCTATGGACTATGGTTTTCCTACAATCCATTGTATTGCGGTGTACTTTCCCAATTTATAATAGTACAGATTACAAAAACTTTTGTTTGTGACATATTCGGCCATATTGGAAGCATTCTAGAAGTTTATATTTGTTTTCATTTTCTTATATATATATATATAAATAACTCTCAACGGTATATTTCAATTATGAAACTTTTGGGATTGTGCCTCGCAGAATATGAAACTAAAGATAAGTCGTCCAAGATTTGTCATTCCTGGGAGACTTGAAGACCTGGACATGGAATTTCCTGGATATTTGGAAAAAGCATATAAGCCATGAACTACATGATGTGCAGGATAATGCTATGGATAAGTTGAACGGAATTTCTTCATTTCCTAAGGTTTGTAAAGCATTTATTGGAAAAACATATAAGCCAGAAAAATTGTTTGTACAAATGATTTAGTTTTGTTCTATGATGTTCTCATTGTTTTCTTTTCCTTTTTCTTTTGTGTGAGGATGCTGGAATTCAACGTGGGACGACCTTACTGTGGCCACTCTGGCTACATCCAGTTGTGCCAGGAAAAATATCATTGAATATGTCGATCTATAACGAAATGGTAACTCCATCAGAGCATATGAATTATCGCATCTTAAGAATGCGTTATGATTTGGTGGTGAGTTCTGTATTATTTTATATGGTCAACTGCACCCTGGAAGATGACATGCATCTTGGCATACCTCTCTTTTTATTCATATAGCTTCTGCTGCTATGTTGTGGTGAGGTTTTGACAGTTCATGCATGCTTATTTCTTTTTCCCATTGGTAACAGTTTCCACAAAAAATGCAGAAAGTACAAATAGCACTAGGAAAGCCCTATGGTGTCATGTATCCCTATTTCCCCCCAAGTGCTCATCCACCAATTTAGCTTACCTTGTGACATTAACAAAATCATAAAAATGACATCTTGTTATGGGTCAAAAACATGAAAAGTGTGAGATGATTTTGAAAATATCAAAAAATTCCACACATTCTCCTTGTGGGTAGGTAACCACTTTTGGACCATCTGATTGTGTTAGTTGCCTTCAATAATGGGAGGAACACTGATACCTTTCTCACTTTTCAGGTTCTTCCATTCTTGGACGTATCATTGCAGACTACTCCTTGCCCGTCAAAGTTGCAAGAGTTCCTTGTGCATATGGACATTGTGAACAGGAGCAACTCAAAGAATGAACCCAAACTCAAGCAGGAAACTATTTACCACTCAAGTTCTGGCTGCCCCCGTCAATTGTTAGCAGTTGGTCAAGGGCTATCACAATTTTTTAAGCTTGTGGTTTGTATGGGGACTTCTTACCTTTTATGAATAATTCATTTAATACTGCGTGAAAATTCGGGATCGGAAGTAAATGCTTTCTTACAAACCCCCAAACCAAGAAACCCTAAGCAAAAGGAAAAGCAAACCAAGTTGGTGTTCAGTCGTTCATAATGTCTTCTGATGTCCATTTATCTGTTTGTTCACAACCAGATAGTTGTCTGGGTAAGGCTAATAAAAATGCTATTTTGTTTCTTAAAAACTCATGTTACAGTTCCTATATATTTTTTGTTCAGATTGAAAGTTCAATTTCCTTTCAACCTTGGTTTTTCCCATAATCTGGTGTCGTTACATTGTTTTGTATTTGGGTGTTCTCGTGTGTGCATGAATGTTTCCTTTCCACTTGGTTATTTGGGGATCTTTGTTTATTAGGAAGTTAATAAGACATCCTGTTTGAAAGGTGCACTTGAGTGGCAAAGCAGCTTAAGCCTGGATGTCTCAAGCATTAACAAATCAGAAATTGATATGTCTAGCATGCCTCTTTCAGAATTCCATATCCAAGAAATATGGCATCAAGAGATACAGTCGGCTCAGGTCTGCTTTTCCTAACATTTCTATTCAACCATGTTTTGAGTACTATGCTAAGTTTTGCATTCAATCTTTAAGTTCGGGGTTTTATTTGTGATTTTGCTTTGAATATTTAAGTTTGGGGTTTTATTTGTCATTTACATATCCCCCCAAAGGCATTTTATTCATACTTTATTCTGTTCGATTTTGTCCTTTCTTGCTTATTATGGAATTTTAGCATTTTGATGCATGCATGCCCATAGCGGTATTTTTATCCCATGCAGCTTATGGAAATGTGTGTTGGGCAACTAATAATGGTTTTTTGAGTTCTTATTTTGGTTACCCATGTGCTTATTTTGACTTTGGACTCTAAGTCCACAAACTTCCCTGATACCATTCTGGTAGCTTGAAGATTGGAAAAAAGGTTTTGATGTGAATTATTTTTCTAATGATCCCAATAAATTATGAGTTTTCTGGCCATATCTGATTGTTGATATGATTTATCTATCTAAGCTCCAAATGAATTCCCACATGCATATAATTCTTGAGAGGCTGGGTTCTAACAAACATGGGAAAAATGGCAGCCAAATATTCTTCCAGGGATTAAAATCTTTTGATCATGTGTTACTTGCTAATAAAGGATTTTGGCTTTTACTTTTTTGGACTTCTTTCTGGTGTAATTAATTAGTTCCTAAAATATCTAGTTCTTTGTTATGTGGATCAGGAACAAGGAAGAACAGTTGATTTAGTTCTGATCTCTCAATGGGAAAACACCAGCCCTGAGCCAGAGCAGCAGTCAGGTTCACAACAGCTTTTTGTCCATTATTTATGTCACTGCAGGTAATTTTACATAAATATTCACACTTCAATTATTTGACATATCTATATATACAAAGGGAAGAAATCCTCTTAATTTTGTTTTTTTTTAAACTGTTAACATTAATGTGTAGAAAAGCTCAGCAGTGGTTACATCCTATCTACCTTCGAGATTCAATGGTGATTTAATAATTAGTACTTGAATCCCCATCCACATGTTAAGGTAGGATGGGAATCCAATGTTTGTGGGCCTTGACTATATCGACATCTGTAAGCTGGCTCAGAGATAGAGAGGGAGAGAGTATTTCGATGCATTCTCATTTCCACTTTTTAACAAGCGCCAATAACTTGAAATATAGCGAAAGCAAAAAGAAGTACAACTTGTGATGTAGTGACTGCTAAAAGAAATGTGTAATAATGTATCATTGCATTCTCATTTTTAGTACGGACACGCAAAGTCCCATAGAGAGGTGGATGGATGGTCCCCGAATCAGTGGATTCGAGTTTGCCCTTTCTTTGTTGTGCTTCAAGTTAAACTAAGATTAAATTGGAACTGATGTCATCAATGGAGGTTCCTGTTCGAGTTTGTGTTATGGCACCTGGGACTTATGACCTTTCAAATTACACAATAAATTGGAAACTCAGGTCCAGTACGGAGGAAAAATCGGTTTCAGGCTTGTTGGGTCGGAGCTGGGGTAGGAGTCCGGGGCATCCATTCTTACTGTGCTTCAATCTAGTTGATTCATGGTGTTTTAATCACATAGTTGACAAGATCTGAGGTAGAGTGGTGGCTGGTTTTTGTGAGTTCGATAGCAATCGCGTGGCCTGTTTAGCAATCACGTGAATGGTGCCATGATTTTTTGTAAAATAGTTTTGTTAGTTCCATTGATTGCTGGTCAGTTTTATATTTTTCCATTCTTTGCCCTATTTAAAAGCATTTTTTTGGGTGGTGAGAATAAAAGAGAAGATTTAAGCTGATTAAATGGATCTTCTTGGTGGGTCTCCAAGAAAGGAAAACGTGCTGATAAACTAGTAGAAAAGGAAACAAAACTTGTGCTGATTATAGATGGCAGTGTTACAATAGTGCATGCATATTTTGTGTTGTGGCTGGATGGTGCTTCACAATATGCTTGTATGTGCTTTCTCTCTCTCTCTCAGCCAATGTGAGGGGGGCTTGATTGTCTTGTCTCATGTATGTTTCCTTTGAAGGGAAGGTGTGTAATGGTTTAAGCCAAAGTCCATTAATCAATTTAGAGAGTTGCACACCGATGAAAATGGTCACTGGGGCACTAATTTCTTTCAAAGGAACTAAACATCCCAATGTCTTTAGAACTGCAAGGCAACACTGATATGTCTATTTTATCTGACTTTCTTGATGATATTTTTTTCCCAAAATCGGAGTTAAATATGGTTATAAACCACTTGTATTCCGATGCAACAACCAGGACATAGCTAGTATTGAACAAAGGATGAGTTTTTTTTATAGATTTTACTTTTTGTTTGCGTGCCTAATTTTACAAATATAATAAATCGACATGGTTCTTAGTTTTCTAATGAAGTTCTTTAATGTGCCAAGCATGTCATTGACTAAGGCTTCTACCAAAATTTGAAAGGTTTTGATGTCCCAACAAAAAGGTTTTGATGTGAATTATCTTTCTAATGATCCCAATAAATTATGAGTATTCTGGCCATATCTGATGGTTGATATGATTTATCTATCTAACCTCCAAATGAATGCCCAAAATGCATATAATTCTTGAGAAGCTGGGTTCTAACAAACATGGGAGCAATGGCAGCCAAATATTGTTCCAGGGATTAAAATCTCTTGATCATGTGTTACTTTTTAATGGAGGATTTTGGCTCTTACTTTTTTGGACTTCTTTCTGGTGTAATTAATCAATTCCTAAAATATCTAGTTCTTGGTTATGTGGATCAGGACAAGGAAGAACAGTCGATTTAGTTCTGATCTCTCAATGGGAAAAAACCAGGCCTGAGCCAGAGCAGCAGTCAGATTCACAACAGCTTTTTGTCCATTATTTATGTCACTGCAGGTAATCTCACCGAAATATTCAAACTTCAATTATTTGATATAAGTGGAAGAAGGCGCAATGGGTTTTGAAATATCTGCCGAATAGTACTACAAGGCAATCTTCTTTTAGGCGTTCTTTGGTCACCATCATTTTGGGCTCTACAGATCTTTCCCTTTTGTTCTTTGGGGAATTGAATGAGTCCTCTATGGATGGAACTGGGGTTAATCAAAACGTAATTTCAGAGAAACCAAAGGAAGAGACTAGAGAAGGGGAAAAAAGAATAAGATTAGAGACAACAGAGCACAGGAAGATCGTGGAAATTGGAATGAGATCGTACAAACTGTCTAGAGAGAGAATGGAGTTTTGTTTAATGAGAGAGAGTGACGTAATTTATTACATTATTATATAGAGAGAATGTGGGGGGTTGCGTTTATTTTTTTAAAAACAGAGACGGTTTATGTTCGTTTCCTCGGACAAGGAGCAGTTGCTGTTCAAACAACGGTTTTTGTTCATCTACTCCCTCAGTTACTCTGCATCTACTCCCTCAGTCAAAGGCGAGGATTTTTTTTCCTAATAATCATTATTAGATGATTATTTTAAAGTGAACAATTTGAATTTTGAGTTTTTTGACGCTTAGATGTCGCGCCTCAAAAATTGGACTGTTGCTGTTCAATTTGGGAATTTATTTTTTATTCATAGCGAGTACAATTTGGACTTTTTTATTTTTTTATTTTTTTTTATTTTTTTTGACTTTTGTTAGTTATGGGTTGAAGAGATTATATTCCAAAAATTTTAGGTCTTCAAATTAATGTTTTTTTGGGTTTTACCTAAGGGAGTAAATGAACAAAATAATGTAGTTTGAATAGTTGAAAAGGCTTAAACTAAAACATTAGGTGTATTTTGAATACCCATCAAATTTCAAGGGAAAAGTTTATATAGAGCCGAGGCTCTAAACAATCAAATTTGAGCCTACCTCAAAAATTTTACTGGAACAGGTTATTTTTATGTCCAAATATCTTCAAATTGATCATCTCGACATCAAGATGCATGGATATGAGAAAAAACGGATTTCAAGTTTAAGAATAGTTTATTTTACAAGAATAAAAGTGACCAAAAATAAAAGTAATTTTTTAAAAAATATTTTACATGAATCAAAGTGACCAAAATACCCCCACAAAGTTTCGGGTGTAGTTTGGTCAATTTTTTTCATGTAAAACATTTTTTTAATATTTTCGTAGATTCGGCTATTTTTGAAGAACACACGCCTAAAATTTCAACTGATTTGGATTTGTAGAAAAAACATTGAAATTCAAACAAAAACAATTAAAATTCAAACACTGTCGGACATCTGTGATCATCAAATCGGTCCATATTCAATCTGGGCCGTTGGCGAATTTAGCTTATCTACACTAGGCTATACACCCTATCTTTTTCATATATATAGTCGTGGGAGGCAAGGCACACAGGGGATAGG